CTATTGTTTCCTTTGATAATGCTGATTGATATTTTTTTGTGGTTTGAATTAACTACTGAACCTGAATATTTGTAAAATAAACATGAAAATAGAAACATCCAAAACTATAATTGCTATTTTTCTTCAGCCATGGAATATTCTGAGAAGAGGAGAAAGAATGAGAATGCATGACTTTCCTGTTTAGTTGAAATTTTGAGTTGAGATTACAAAGTTTTCTTCGTTTTTTGTTTTTTCTTTTCTGTTTCCTTGTCTCCAGCAGCACCTCCTCCTCTTCCTCTTCTTGTTCTATAATACTGCTTCCTCCTCCTCCTCCTACTCTCTCTCCTTTCTTCTACCTCTTCCTACTTCCTCCTCTGCCTCCTCCTCTGCCTCTCTTCCTCTCCTCCTCCTCTCTCTCCTCTTTCCTTTTCTCCCTCTCCTCCTCCTTCCCTTCCTCTTTCTCTTCTCTTCCTTCTCCTCCTCTTTCCTCTTCCTCCTCCTTCTTCCTCTTCCTCCTCTCTCCTTGTTTTCCTTCTTTCTTTCCTTATTCCCTCCTCTTCTTTTTTCTCCTATTCCTCCTTTTTTCTCTTCCTCCTATTCCTCCCTTTCTTTCCTCCTTCTCCTCCTCCTCCTCCTCTTTCTCCTCCTCTTCCTCTTCCTCCTCTACCTCCTCCTCCTCCTCCTCTTCCTTCCTCCTCCTTCCAGCCTCTCTCCTCTCCTCCTCTTCCTCTGCCTCCTACTCCTTCCTTCTTCCTCCTCCTCTTCCTCCACCCCCTCCTCTGCCTCCACCCTCCTCTTGGCCTCCACCCCCTCCTCTGCCTCCCCCTCCTCTGCCTCCTCCTCCTTTCTCTCTCTCTCTCTCTCTCTCTCTCTCTCTTTCTCTCTCTTTCTCTCTTCTTTCTCTTTCTCTTTCTCTTTCTTTCTCTTTCTCTTTCTCTTTCTCTTTCTCTTTCTCTTTCTCTTTCTCTCTCTCTTCTCTCTCTCTCTCTCTCTCTCTCTCTCTCTCTCTCTTCTCTCTCTCTCTCTCTCTCTCTCTCTCTCTCTCTCTCTCTCTCTCTCTCTCTCTCTCTCTCCCTCCTCCCTCTCCCCTCTCCTCCCTCCTCCCTCCTCCCTCCCTCCCTCCCTCCCTCCCTCCCTCCCCTCTTTTGCTTTCTCCTCCTCCTCCTCCTCTTCCTCCTCCTTTTCCTCCTCCTCTTAGTCCTCTGCCTCCTGCATTGATTAATTCTATTCCTTGAACAGAAACATTTACATGAGGGGTGTCTATTATGTTTTATGAATAACAAATAATTAGACATCAGGGGATGCTCCTACCCACAGTACAAGCACACACTGTGATGTCACAAAAAACCTTGCTCAGCCATCATGTTGGTTGTTTATCCATGTCACATATGTAGCATAACATGTGCTTAGAAGCTGTTTTCTTACAATAGATTATCATAGTCAATAAAGAGTACTTATACTTGCAATTTTGGTTTCCCAAGGTTATACTGAAAAAAATTTAAGTTCAGCTATCAGATTATAGAACACAAAATGACCATTTGTATTTGCACTAAGCAATTGCTTTTGGAATACCTTCGAAAACAAACACACACACACAAATGCACAAGCACGCACATGCACACATTCGCGCACACGTACACACACATTCACACACGTACACACATTAACACACATACACACAGGTATACACAGGTACACACAGGTACACACAGGTACACAGGAGTGCACACACACAGACACACATGCGCACACACGCACACGCACACACGTATACATACATACACATGTACAAACACACACAAACGTACCACACACGCACATACACCAACACACACGTATACACACATGTACACAAACACACACGTACACACGCACACACGTATACACACACGTATACACACACACACACACACACACACACACACACAACATATGTACACACACATGTACACACACACACCACGTACACACACACACGTACACACACACACACGTACACACAACACACACATACACACACACACACACACACACACACACAACACACACACACCACACACACACGTACACACACACACACACACACACAACACACACACACACCACGTACACACACACACAATGTACACGTACACACACACACACAGTACAACACACACACACACACAAAACTACACACCACACACGCACGCAGACACGCACGCACACACACTACACTCACACTCACACTCACACTCACACTCACACTCACACTCACACACACACAACACACACACACACACACACACACACACCACACACCACACACACACAACACACACAACAACACACACACACACACACACACACACACACACACACACCACACACCAACACACAACACACACACACACACACACACACACACACACCACACACACACACACACACCACAACACACACACACACACAACACACACACACACACACACACATACCACACACACACACACACACCCACACACACACACACACACAACACACACATACACACCACACACAAAACTACACACACACACGCACGCACACACGCACGCACGCACGCATGCACACACAACACACAACACACACACACACACACACACACACACACACACACACACACACACACATACATGTACTCACATACACACATACACAGGTGTGTGCAATTATCTGATTAAAAATCAAATATCCCGGACAACACTATATGCTTGACCATGAACTGTTAAGTCTGTGTGTTAATCGTACTTGTACGATGGAGACAAAATAATGGCCATGGCATATAATTCACTCACATAGCTTTAAGAAATACCCTTGTAGGAAGATTGATTGAATATGAGAAATGAATATGATATTTATATTAAAGTTTAAGAAGCAATAAATGAAGTATTGAACAAAGATAAGAGGAAAAAGAATCAGCACTAGAATGATCCACAAGATGTAAGAAGGTAAAACTGCCATGGCAAGGAAAAATTCACAGATTAAAGAAATCCACAATTGAAGTGTGTGTGTGTTTGTTTTTTTTTTTTTCTTTCTTTTCTTTTCTTTTCTTTTCTTCATTGTTCATGCATACTAGGTAATACTTTTGATTAAGACTGTGATGATGAATATACAAAGGTACTGACCATACTACTAAAGGCACACAAATATAAAGCAAGCTATATTTGAACATATACAAACACTTGAACCACACAGCTGCAGGCATATGGTTTATAAAGGAATAAGTTCCAAAAGAGGTGGAAAAGTAAAAAACTAGAAATTATGTATATTGTCATTCGTTATTATTGTCATCATAATCATCGTTGTTATTATTGTTAATAGTAGTAGGCATAGAAGTAGAAGAGAAGTACTAGAAATATTAGAAAAAATGACCTTCATGATATAACAAAAACATAATTGCAAAAACATAATAAGTACTACAAAAAATACATTTTTCTTGCTTATTGTAAAGATCTTTATTTATTTTATATCCTCATTCTGTGACTTATATCAAGCCTCCTTGAAGAAAAACAAATCAAAAGGAAGAGAAGATTAAGGGAAAGGAAGCTCAGAAGACTTCTATTAGAGATCGGAGACCATCCTCCTGGCCACCCACGAAGCATGTCTACTCCTTTTCATATAGTATTTATAAAGATAGATAGTTGTAAATAGTGAATGAATTGGTAAAGACATGCAGTTATGAATAAATCAACTGAAGTAAGAAGCATCTAAGTGATACAAGAGATATTTGCTCATAGCTTTTCTAGATTTTTGTCCATTTTTAGAATTCTAGTGATAATGAACATAATTAGATTTGATAAGGGAGTAACTAGAGAAGTAATATGATTTGTAAATTGTGTTTAAGTAACATTAAGTATATGTTATGTATATTTGATAAAAGTGGTAATGTATGATCAAAAATCATATTAAATTTAGATATGGCATAAATACAAAATAATTAGCTTAGGTCATAATAGAGTTCATGCTGTTTTATGTCAACTTCTTATGCTTAGTTGTGTGTGTGTAGGATCAAAAAAGAATATTTTCATTTTCATTTGCAGAGCCTGATGGAAACTTTATTAGCAACGGTATTGGAATCCTGTATCAAGGTCTTGGAGTCTATCAGCAGTTATTTGAAAGGTAGGTGTCTGAATACCATTAAAATTGTCAGAAACAATCATATTCTCATTATGTGAATTTGAAGTAAATTCCTGTTCTTTATAAAGTAGTGAAATATGTACATTTGCTAATAGAAAGGGAGATGGAAGGAAAAGAAAACAGGAAAACAGGCAGACACTTCATAGGAGAGAAAGAGTTGAAGATAGAGGGTAAAAGCCATCAGAAAAGATTAAGGGAGAAAACATGGAGCAAAGGGAGGGAGGGGATGTCATATGGGGGTCAATGGAGGAAGTAAGAATTGATAAAAAGGCAAATAGAGCAAAATGAAAGAAAGATTTTCATGGCTTAGTTCCTGCTGTATTGTCATATCCCACATTCTTATTTAGTAGCTCACAAAAATGGAATAATAATCACTGAATTTATTTGTGTGTTCTTTTCAGGAGTGGATTAGCAGACAGAGAAACTCTGAACCACTTCATCAGCAAAAGCAATAGAGATGTTAAGGAAACTGCAGAGTGCCTTATGGAGATTGAGGTATATGTTGCAGCATGGGTTCTAGTGAATTTTTGTTTGTATGCACAACTTGAAAACAGCGATTCCCAAAAGAGTGTAAAAGTTAAAGAATTTTGATTTCATAAGTGTATTGTTGAACTACAGTATAGAAAAGTAATTCATATAATTATCTTTTACATGGATATGTAAGGTCTTGCTATGTAGTACATACACCCTTTCTTATATTACAACAACTTCCTGAACCTTTACCTTCATCAAAACATCATTATCCGCAAAATCCACTGCAGGATGAATGGACCAACTTCCTTAGGCAACTAGAAGCCAGGGAAGGTGAGAGAAAATCCATTGTAAAGCCAGAGGTTGGTGCAGCCCAGCGATGCTCATCCGAGAGTGCCTGATTCATCGCATGACAAGCTTGGGGTAGAAGTCACATTACAGGACCTCCTCCCACTGTTACCTCAAGAGAGGACTCTACTTGTGCTGAATAGGCACTTTGCCTGACTTCCGTGACGCATCCACGTGGCCCAGCTGGCAGAGAGACAAGTGAGTGTTTTGCAAAGGGATGAAAATCAAAATTGTAATTTTTTTTACAGAAATTTAGTGAGAGCTTTATTTGATTTCTGACCTGTTTATTCTAATTTTAATTCACTCATTCATCTCTTGTTACCGTGCCAGCATTTTTACATTATTTTATTTTCATTTTTAAAGTGCACAGACACACAAAGTTGACAATAACAATACAGTAGCAGTAGAACACAACCTATACCTAATTTGGATTTAGTGTTCATTCTGTTTTTCATTGAACAGAGTGAACTCACTGCTGCTGGTTGCAATGTGGTGGTAGTGACATTTGGGGAGATGTCAGGTGCAAAGAGATGGCTGGAGGAAACTCATTGTCCTTTCCCATACTTCACAGAACCAACTCTTTCCCTTTACCAGAAACTTGGGTTAAAAAGGTAATTTATTGAGGCTATTCTGTGCTAGGACAGGGGGTATAATTTAGTATGGTAAGGAAACTATGAGAGTGTAAAGAAAATAGCATTAGAGATTCTTTCTGTGACATGTAGATTTTTTATATCATGGAAGTTCCATGTTCATAGATTTAGCATGCAGAGTAAAGTATTATTGACTAATTTTGGATATTATTTAGTGTTCAGATAATATTACTATGATTTTTTTTAATCAGTCTGTTATAATATAGAATTATTTTCATTTAGTAAATATAGCACAGTTTGTTGTTGTTTTTTTAAATAATTTATCAGATATTTCAGACGGATAGAATTTTTATGATCAAAACTAGATAGTAAATATTTTCACAGAGTTATAAAAGAAGTTAATGTATACTCCGTAGTTATAACTATGTCATGCTAACAGATACTACAAAATTTATGTATATGTATGATATCTTCTGTTTTCTTCAAACAGGTCCATTGTGTCTGTGTGGAGCCCAACAGTCCTAAGTTTTTATGGTGCTCAGATGGCCAAGGGGACACCTCTACCAAAAGCATATGCAGACATTGAGGATGATCCACACCAAATGGGAGGGGACTTCATTGTGGACAAACAAGCAAATCTTGAGTTTATCTATCACAGTAAAGTGCCAAGTGATAGGCCTTCTGTAGATCTCATTCTTGCATCATTGAGGAGAATGAATCAGCCTTAAAAAGTGCCTGTCTGTGCTTGGATGTACATGATTTATATTTCCAGGCAGAAACTGTTTATGTGGGAACAATTTTGGTTATTGTATACTATGGTCCACTATGCCCATATATAACTGGCATTGAAGCAACACGCTCTTGATTGTTAGAAGTAAAAAGCACATACTAAAACACAGAGAAACTGAAAATACATTCCAATTTAAGTAATATTCCATAAATCCAACTTGCTGTAATGAGAATTTTATTTTGTTTTATCATTTGTTTGTAAGAAAGATAATTTCAGTGGTTGTGAACTTACCAGTCCTATCTTCATTAGGCTGAAATATATTTCATGTTGATTCTGAAGTTAGACTAATCTCTCTGCACTATTGAAAATCTGTTGTAAAAGTTTGATCTTCATTATTTAGCTGCCTTGAAGGGAGAATTTTTGCTTTTCAGTGTTCTTATCTAGTGCAGAAACATAAAGAATGCAGACTCTCATACTTCTCTGAAAATATGTACTCAGTCTTTCAGTCACAAATAAGCATATATGCAAATTTAGAAATATTTATTTTTCCAACACAAGTTTTTATAAAAATATTTGTATTTGATATATGACAGTTAGTTAGAAAGTGAAATATATGCTCATGGTCATACTAGTCAGAGTGTCTGAGCCACTTTTGTAGCATGGACGTAAATAATGAGAGCAAGAACCCAAATAGAGTTGTAACAAAAAAAAGTCATTGTTAATCTCTACCCAAGTCCTTTTTATAGGACTGTAGAGAAGAAATAGATTTGTTGTTCAGGATATGGATATCAGTAATTTGCAAATGATTCTTTGCCTTTTTCAGTTTCTTTGCATTTAAGGCTTTAGCACATGAAGTATGATGTGCACCACAATGCAGTTTATCTCTTGCAGTCTTCGGATGCAGCTTTGGTTGCTTTATGTGAGACTTGGTATTTTATTTCTATCATGAAACAAATAGTTATTGGAGTAAAACACATTATTGGGTTCCTGTAGTAACTTTATATTCTAGACCAGTGGAAAGATGGTGCTATAATGCTCAGAAATTTTAGCTCTCTATTTTGCACTTTCTAAGGTAGGTTTGGTTAATCTCTCTTGAACAGCAGGACAGCATGAAGGCTTGAGTGAAAACCCTGTGTGGCTCAAGCTGGAAAAAATAGTGATTGCAGTTTAAGAGAGTTTTCCTCTTCCCCCTTTTTCCCTTTTTCTAGCTTTTGTTACTACTAT